CCCCGGCAACAGTTCCCACATTTTCTTCCTTACAACCTTATCAAATGCTTTCTCAAGATCCACAAAAGCACAGAAAATCTTCTGGTTAATAGCCAGAAGCTTCTCCGTGATCATGCGGAGAGAAAACATTTGATCCGTGCATCCTCTTCCAGGTCTAAATCCGCATTGTGCCTCCCATAGAAATCTTTCCGATTTCTCTTGCATCCTACGTGTCAAAACCTTCGAGTAAACTTTACTTGCTAAACTGGTCAAGCTGATCGCCCGATAGCACCCGCAGTCAAAATGTGAACCTTTACCTTTATATAAAGGCACAATGACTGGGGATCGCCAATCATCCGGGACATCCCCCGTCCGCCAGCACAAATTGCACAGCAGATGAAAGCTGTCCCAGACGCGAGGCCCACCATACTTGACCATTTCAGCAGTAACTCTGTCTAGTCCCGCAGCCTTACCACATTTCAAACTTCGAATCGCACGTTCAATCTCTTTCATACTGATGACCTCAGTGTCATCGAGGTCCGGGTCTGGCGTACCAGCGAAAATGTGATGATAATACTATTTTGAATTTCATCATTTTCACTATTGCAGCACTTCACAAGTCCAATGCTGAACATAGGCCTACCCAAGGAATGCCATAAAACACGATCCTGAGCCACCTGCATCCATCGACTTTCTGCATGTCGTCGCTCTATGTGCAGAGGCGCTATTCTACGTCGCTTACCGGTACCAGGCTGCCACTCGAGAATCTTTATTCCCTGTCGGCTGACGGTTTTCCGAGCTATATGGTCGGCTCATTGCCACTTCAGCATACTGTTCGTGTGAACTATGTCGGTTATTTTGGTTGTACTGCATACCTCATCATCATCATCATTACAGACCTTCACAAGTCCACTGCTAAACATAAGTCTCCCCCAAGGAATGCCACAAAGCACGGTCCTGAGCCACCTGCATCCATCTACTTCCTGCATATCTTACCAGGTCATCACTCTATCTAGTGAGGGGACGCCCAACACTTCGCCTGCCGGTACGAGGCTGCCACTCGAGAACCTTTTTTTCCCATCGGTTGTCGGTTCTTCGAGCTATATGGCCGGCCCATTGCCACTTCAGCTTACTAATCCGTTGGGCTATGTCGGTCACTCTGGTTCTACTGCGGATATCCTCATTTCTGAGTTTATCACGCAGAGAAACTCCGAGCATAGCCCTCTTCATAGCTCGCTGAGCGACCTTGAGCTTCCTCATCCGGCCAGCAGTGAAGGACCACGTCTAAGTTCCGTATGTCATCACTGGCAACACGCACTGGTTGTACAGTCTCGTTTTCAAGTTTTGAGGTATATCTGACGAGAAGATGTGCCGTAATTTCCCGAACGCTGCCCAACCGAGTTGAATCTGTCGATTGACCTCTCGGTCGAAGTTGGACTTACCTAGTTGGACTATTTGTCCCAGGTAAACGTACTCGTCAACAACTTCAAGCTTAGTGCTCCCAACAACTACCGGCATAGGTGTGACATGGATATTAAACATGATCTTTGTTTTGTCCATGTTCATCTTAAGACCTATACGTTGGGAAGCACTATTGAGGTCATTGAGCATAGTGCTTAGGTCCTCCAGCGACTCTGCCATAAGGACTATATCATCAGCAAATCGAAGGTGACTGATGTACTCGCCATTGATGTTGATACCGTATCCTTTCCAGTCCAGAAGCTTGAAAACGTCTTCCAATGCAGCGGTGAAGAGTTACGGGGATATGACGTCACCCTGTCTTACACCTCTCTGCAATTGGATAGGTATCGTACTCTGGTTCTATACTCGGATAGCCATCGTAGCCCTACTGTACAAGCACTTCAGCACTTCGATATTCCGACAGTCAACTTGGCACCGCTGAAGGGACTGCAGCACCGCCCAAATTTCGACGGAATCAAAGGCTTTCTCATAGTCCACATACGCCAGACATAGTGGCAAATTGTACTCCTCTGACTTCTGTACAATTTGCCGAAGGGTATGTATGTGGTCTATGGTGCTAAAGCCTTTTCGGAAACCGGCTTGTTCGGGAGGCTGGAAGTCGTCAAGTCTGCGCGCGAGACGATTCATAATGACTCTCGAAAACAGCACGTAGACGCGGCTCAGAAGGGAAATCGGTCTGTAGTTCTTCAAGAGAGCGTTGTCGCCTTTCTTGAAGAACAAGACCACCGCACTTCTGCTCCACGCCTCCGGTGTAATGCCACCATGGAGGACGGAATTAAAGAGCTTCTGAAGAACTTCAAGTACCGGTTTTCCACCCGCTTTCAGAAGCTCCGCTGTAATTCCATCCTCGCCTGGGGCCTTGCCGTTTTTAAGGTGCTGGAGAGCCATTCTAATCTCGCTCAGACTGACGTCCGGGATATCATCGGAATAATGTCGGATAACACTCGCTCTTGGATCGTTACTCACACTTGCGTGTGGCTCCAACGATGACGTGTACAGCTGCCCATAGAACCTCTCAATCTCACTCAAAATCTCAGGTGCCCCGGAAACGATGCTTCCATATTCTGTCTTCAGCTTTGACAGTTGGCTCTTTCTGGTAGACAGATCTCTGGCAAAGACTTTGGAGCCTTGGTTCCGCTCGATCACTTCTTCAATACGAGGTGTATTGAAGTTGCGTAAGTCCCGCCGCATGCATTTGGAGATCTGACAAATTCAGATGAATAGTATGCATACCTACTCATTTCGAATTCTATCACATAAAAAACTCTGAGCCTAACCTTCTCCATAGCTTGCTGAGCGGCCTTAAGTTTCTTCGTTCGGCCAGCAGTAAAAGACCACATCTTAGATTCATTTTATCTATAGCAACACGCACTGGAGGTACAAGTTTGGAGGAATGCGTGATAAAAGCATGTGTCGCAATCTCCCGAACTCTGCACCATCGAGTTCGATCCGTCGATTGACCTCTTTGTCAAAGTTGGACTTACCTAGTCGGACTGTTTGTACTAACTACAAAATCGACTCAAATATAACTTAAAGGACGTCAACTTCGAACGTAGTTATTCCAACAAATATTGGCATAGGTAGGACGTGATCGCGTGCAAAATGAAGTAAGTCTTGTCAATGTTCATCATAATAACTATCCGTTCGGAGACGCTATAGATGTCATTGAACATAATGTAAGGTTTTCCAGTGATTCTACCATAATCACTATATCGTCGGCAAGACGAAAGATAGCCCTGGTAGCTTTTATGTACACTTCAGCACTTTGATATACCGGCAGTTCATCCGGTGCCACTGAAAGTATTAGCCACCGCTTAAATTTCTACGAAATCAAAGGTTATCTTAAGTTTACACTCGTAAGACAAAGTGGAGATTGTACTCTTCGGCATTCTGTACAAATTGCCGTAGGGTGTGTATGTGGTTTGTGGTATTAAATCAGTAAGTTTATCACATTCGTTTTATATAGAAACAAATTATTTCTTTTGATCAACATATTAAATGTTGGTATAGTTTCTAAATTTTAGATGAAAATCGAATATCAAATAAAATTTTACAAAGAGTCAACTGAAACATGGTTTCAGATAAACAATGAATATTTGTTTATTTCTTCGTTTTCTATGCGTTTCTTTACCATTTATCCGATTGAATTCACAGGATATATTAAAGAGCTGATAAATAATGTAGGTGTAAAGATGAATATGCTAGGGGGTTTGCATTCGGAAAACGCCCAAACGCAAATTTCACTTACCTGTGATGCACTCTGTTGATTAACTGACAAGGTTTTCATGACTTACGAACTGGTGACATTAAATTTCACCGACTGGTGATGGGTAGTGGTATTATTAGTGCGAGTGCTCTGTTTTCACCATACTGTTTGCCTAGCGAGGTGAGTATAGACAAACCTTTAAAGTGACGTGAGTTACAGAAAGTATATTACTTTGCGAAAAAAAACCTGTGACTTAATCTAATAATGTGTTAATCGACTGATGTGTACGAAGTATACTTAAGAAGACTGTTTTACCATAGTGATGATGAAATATTAATGTCCTGTGTGTTGTTTAATAGTAAAAGAATCATCAAATTACCTTCTTCTGGATTCCATAGTTGGAGTTGGTAAAGTGTCCGCCTTTTTAACATGGCGTTTTTCCGTAGGTTGCATTATTTCTGTATATTCGTCGTCAACTTCTTGAACTGGTGAGGGCGGTAAAGGTGGGAATATAGGTGACTCTGGTGTTTGTGGAAGCGGCCCTTTTTCGTGACCCATACTAGGTGAAGGAGGTAATGGAGATCTATACGGATGCTCCACTATTTGAACGTTCAACGGAAAATCTCCTCCGCTGGAAACAGCCGAATCCGAAGAAGATGGCTGCCGAACTAAACTAACTGGCATGTCCTTCGCACTAGTCGACTTATGCATACTGTTTGATCGTCTACCTGAAGAACGGTCTCGACGATCAATCGATCGTTGACTTTGTATCTCGTTGTGACTTGATGACTTCTGAATATCATGTCTCCTATGTTTGTCCCTAGAGCTATAACGGTAATTTGTTTCTAATATTTCCTTAGATACGTCATCACAGTATTCGTCCTTATGTATATTCCAGTCTTTAGGTATGTATGGCGTAAAAAGTTTTTGGTCCCGACTCTGACTTAGTATAGCGCTTATGTTATTTTCAATTTTACGTAATGGTGAAGTTTCACCACTGGAGCCTCGTTCACCACTTTCCGGGTCTTCTTCTTCCTCAACTGTCGTAATAAGTGCTTGCCGACTTGCACTGTTGCCATCACTCTCACCGAGACTAGGTAACGATATTACTCTAACTATATTAGGAGGAACAGTAGTTAGTTCATTTACCGTTTCATTGCATTCTATTTGTGGAGCTTCTTCAACTTTACCTTCTTTGATTAAAGATTGTATATTATCAAATGTTGAGGAATACTTTTTGAAATCCGTAAATCTGTTTTGCGGGGATAGTTTACTTTGCACTATGTTACTTTTGGGTGTTACACTTTTGTCTCCGGTCACGTTTCTGCTTTTTGGACTGTGACCAAAATATTCTGGGTTAATATATCTATCTTGACCGTTATTGAGATCTAAACTAAGCCTGGATTTTGGTGAATTAATTTCTTTGCTAATTCTAGAATTAGGCGTGCAAAGATCTATGCTGTACCTCGAGTTAGGAGTATTGAGTTCGCGACTTATGCGTGAGTTAAGGTCAACACTGTATCTTGATTGTGGCAAACTCAAGTCTGAGCTAGGTCTAGAGTTGTATGAACTGACAGATCCAGAACCACTTATTGATACACTTGATCCATCTATTGATTTGTCCGTGCTTCTGTTCAAGCTGTGGGTTTGAATTAGGTTGTTCGCGTTTGACGTTTTATTACCATTGGTTTTGTTGAAATTCGGTAAATGTTTTCTGTTTTTGCCTTTCCGAATAACGTAAGTGCCACATGAAAGATCACGTCTATTGTCATGCTCTACGTCAGATGTTGGTGACGCTAAAGGATCGCATTGTGCTATCGGTGGTGGTGGAGGCCAGTATTCTTCGCCCCAATCGTCATCTAGTCGTTGCGGTATAGAGTTTGTACTTGAATGTGACTGATCGCCTGATTTTCTTCTTCTTCGACCTATAACCTGTAATCATAAAGATATTATCAATGATGAGTTTTATATAATATGCGAGGTTTTTTCAAACAATGTTTTATTGCAACTATAATACTTGTCTAATCGCAAATAATGAAGCATATATATAAGAATACTATAAAAAAAGATTAGTTTGCCAATATTATCATAATTATTTAATAAAATTGTACTTTAGTAAATTCACGAGAATTTAGTAAACTTCTTGTCACATTAAGGGCTCGAAATCTTAATAGGAATGTATTAAAGATTATTCATTGAACATTGAAACTAATATACGTAAATAAAGAGAAAACAAAAAAAACATGTTTTAAGTTATTATTTATGTAACTTTTATATCTCTAAAATGTAAAGTACTTACAAAACAAAAATGTAGTGTAATATACCTTTGTGCTTCCGGGAGTAAGTAGAGGATCATCACCATCGAGGGACACTTCCCATGCTATAGAATTGCGTTTCGAAGGCGTGGTGGCAGCGGGCGGCGGCGGTGGGAACGACTCTTCTAAAGAATCATCTGAGAAATGATCATCATCATTGCTCCTGCTCGAAACTCTCGTTTTCTGCCCGTCCGTTACGTCCTCCGAAGAACCTCTACACACTTCTCTATGCCTCTCCATAGAACTGGCGAGAGTCCGCGGAGGTATTTTACCCTTGGGTGACAACATTTCACCATCGGATCTGCTATCACGTTTTACGTAGCCCTTTCTCTCTAAATTTTTATTATTCGAAGGTGAAATTTTTTGCACATTGTATGTTGGTGAATGTGACTGTCTGTTAAACTGAATGTTTGGTCCCGGATAAATTGTAACGGGATGTTCATTGTACGGCTTGTCGTTAAAATCGCTTGAAAAACCCATGAACGGGAATACTGGGGGGTTCTCAAAGCTAGGTGATTTTATTTGAGTGACAAGTGGAGCCACTTGTCGTGGTGGTAGCCATGCTGACGTTGTGTCAGCATGTGGTGGTCGCACACCATGTTGTAGTGAAGCAAATCTATACGGAGGCACCGGGGCTGGTTGTAGTTGAAAGCCGTTCGTTTCAATATTATCTTTCTCCCAGCCGTAAGGTCGCTGGTGTTTGGTTTTTGGCTGGAATGAATAAATAATACAGTTTTACATTTACATATAATTTATATGAACGCGTAAGTTTAATTGTTGTTGCAAATGTTATAAACATCCGCTAGGTTCTGCCTCTCAATGTAATATAATTTTTTATATAATTATTTGATATTCATCCTTTCAATAATTCATTCAAGCAAAAATCTTTTACGGTTTGTATAATAATGAATCTATTTGTGTCAGTTTTGTGTAAACGATCACACAAAATAGCTGTTTTTCTCTCTTTCACTGATTGTTCTCAGCCGATGGTTTGGTGATTAGAAGCCGTTTTTAGTCTGACTCGATTATTTATTTGATACTATATTAGACTGATAATTTTTGAAATCTTTCTACACAACTATTCATATAATTATTTGTAGTTATTTTATTGCGTCGTGTAGTGGCGGTGTAACAATACCCACTACCCCATATCGTCCTGTGGAACTAAAACAGGAGATGGGCAGCAGCATCTTTCTGATCAGCAATAAAAAACTGCGGTTGCTAACCTGCCTGCCAAGCGTGGCAACTATGGCAAAATCCCCGGTATGAGGAAATGTATGGGGCAGGCCTATGTTCAGCAGTGGACTTTTATAGGCACTAATAGTAGTATAGTAGTAGTTATTTAAGTATATTCATCTATTTTTTGACTGTCTCGTTGGTCTAGTGGTTGTAGTAGTGCGACTGCTGCTCATGAGGTCCCCGGTTCGAATCTCGAGTCGGGCCAAAAAAATCTGTTATTGAGTTTTTCCATCAAGAAATTCTCAGTAGCTGCCCGGAGCCAGGAAACTGGCGGTGTCTCACCTGCGTGCCTCGAAAAGCACGTAAAACTGTTGGTACTGTGCCTGATCTCTCTCCGGTCGTGTCGGCTTACATCCCATCGGACTATGTGAGTGTTGGCACAGAGAGTGCACCTGTGCTTGCGCATACACTTGGGCACTATAATCCTGTCCTGCGCCGATGGCTAGTCTTCGTTGTGACTGGACGCCATGACCGAAATTCGGTCTGGAGGACATTATTATTTATTTTAATTAATTTGTTTATCAATAAAGATCGAAATTCAGGGTATATATTATGTTGTATGGACAATGGGATTATATCAAGTATTTATTTCAATTTAATATTTTTAGGTGTTTTTGGATCATAATGTAGGTTTTTATCGTGATTATCTTTTGGGTTCCAAAAAACGAAAAGTAATATAAAAATATATATTTATAATTTTTGGGTTATTAACTTACGAATGTGGTCTGAGTAGCAGTTGTAATTCCATTAACACTAATAATAGAATCCAGCTTTTCAGTGGCTTCGGTTTGTTCAACAGAAATGGTGCGCTTTCCAGAATTTGCTGGCGAAACTCTGAAAATAATATAAAAAGTCGAGTATAAGTAGAGTTAACATGCTTAAGATGATTACCTACATTAGATTTGATTGACCACAAATCCTCGCAAAAGAACACTACAGAGGATGATACGCGAGGCTATTCATTTCAATAAAGAAGATGGGTGGGTGCTACCACAGTTTAAAGAGAGTCTAACAGTTGTGAAACGAATGTACTTGTGCAGAGCAACGACGGTGGCATTGTGGTGGGAAAATTATAAGAGCGAATTTTTACGATGCGCGCGCACACCGACACCTTAAATCGACAACTTCAGTTGGTAATTGTTTCTCAAGTTTTCGTGAGAACTGATAACTATGACAAAGACCTGAACCTGACCTTCGGTTACTACTGTTACTATTGGAACTGCTCGACGAGAAGAACTAGGTGTACCGAGTTTGAGCTCGTTTTGATAGTTATGGTGACACATTTCCTCCGGACTTGAGAAGCGAACTGAAGGTGTACTTTGGTGAATGCTACTGGAACTTCTCGACCAGTAGAACTAGGTGTGCCGAGTTTAAACCCGTTTCGTTAGTTATGATGAGATCTTACCTCGGGGCTTGATGAAGTGAACTGAAGATGTACTTCGGTGACTGCTACTGGAACTCCTCGACGAGAAGAACTAGGTGTACCGAGTTTGGGATCCTTTTGATAGTTATGATGACACCTTTCCTACGGACTTGAGAAGAGAACTGAAGGTGTACTTCGGTGAATGATACTGGAACTCTTCGACGAGTAAAACTAGGTGTGCCGAGTTTGGGATCGTTTTCTACCGACTTCAAAAAGGAGGAGATACACCATTCGACTGTATGTTCTTTTTATGTGTGTTAACTCATAATTCGAATGAACCGATTTCGATGTTTTTTTTTAATTGAAAGCTGGTGCTTCTCATGTGGTCCCATATAAATTTCGTTAAGGTCTGATCAATACTTTTTTAATTCTTTTTACTAATTTATATTGAAGTCGGTTGTACAAATTTTTTTATTTTAAATTATGTTAGTTATGATGAGACCTTACCTCTGGACTTGATAGTGACCTGAAGGTGTACTTTGGTGACTGCCACTGGAACTCCCCGACGAGTAGAATTAGGTGTGCCGAGTTTGGGCTCGTTTTGATAGTTATGATGACACTTTTTCCCCGGACTTGAAAAGTAACCTGAAGGTTTACTTCGGTGAATGCTACTAGAACTTCTCGACGAGTAGAACTAGGTGCGCCGATTTCGAACTCGTTTCGTTAGTTATGGTGAGACCTTACCTCCGGACTTGATAGAGTGACCTGAAGGTTTGCTTCGGTGAATGCTACTAGAACTTCTCGACGAGTAGAACTAGGTGCGCCGATTTTGAACTCGTTTCGTTAGTTATGGTGAGACCTTACCTCCGGACTTGATAGAGTGACCTGAAGGTGTACTTCGGTGGCTGCTACTGGAACTCATCGACGATTAGAACTAGGTGTTCTACTCGTCGGAGTTTTAAGTTATTTTCGTTTTGTAACACTAAAGAAGTATATTGATAAAATTGTTTATCCAAATGCGAGTACACTACATAATTAAATGTAACAATCGAAAACTAAAAACATCTATAAAAAGAAAGTGTCACAAAAATATTTTGCAGTGCAACACTTGTAAACGTATTTTTCTTTAAAAATTATCTTGTTTAATAAATATTTTTAACTTATAAGTATGTACAATATGTTAATAAATGATAAATAGTATTTAATATCGAAAATTATTTTATTCCCAAGTACGTGACAACCCCTAACATATTTGCGACGACGACGGCGTAAATATTATGCTTTGATGTCAAGCGGTAAATATTGCGATATTCTCACAACTGTTAACTCTTTAAACTTTGATGCTACCATATGTGTTATTGTTTATTACTATTGTTTATTATGTGCATAATTTATGTAATTTTTGTAATTATATCAATAATAATTTTATTTTATTAAGTAATTATTGCAAAAATTATGAATTTACTTTTTTGAAAATAATTGTGATGGTGTGATTGTAAAATAAGGTTAAACCATCGGTAAATGTCAAAGAAGCAGTGAGTCACCCAAGTTTCGAAAAGAATCTGAAGATCTGAACGAGTGCCAAATTCAATTGTAGTTCTTGATATTATAGCTATAGAAATTTACAACGATGTTCAAATATCTAAGATAAAATTTGTTAAATTTTTACTTTATTACTGAACAATATTCGAATTTTAATATTTAAATTTAATTATCATATAGTCCTACTCCCCGTGGTATCGTGCCAAGAACGCTGGCTGCCTTTTCTCACTGAATGGCTATACTTACCCTTTGAGCGAGAAAAGAACCAGCCCTCTTATCACTAGCAGCAACGTCCAGTCGTGGATAGAGTTCCTTTAGGAACTTCATCGCACGTGTCTCTACAGCAAATGTCACGAATATATATATTGAATATATACTACGCGTGCGGTTAAAGATTGGGATTGAAAATGGTGTCACCTCTATTCACCTCTCGCTCGCATACTGTTGCTATCTATACTCACACCCACCGGTAAAGACTGCAAAAATATGTTGCAATATGCATTTTTTGCATGGTCTATAACTTCAGTCCAACTTATCATTGGAATCAGTGATAAGAAACTGCCACAAACTACAAAAAATTCAGTCCGGTTTCGATAATTTATAAGCTACGACGCTTTATGAGAGTTTTCTTCATAATTATTGATTATTTTGTTTATTAATATTTTTGTGTAAGATATTTACATGCTATTGAGACATGAGTTTATAAAATTTTGAAATGTCGGTCTGTAGTTCTATCCAAGCTATCTTTCTAATTGTTGAACCGATTTTAATAAAACTTCACGAACAAATAGCGAGTAATACCAAAAGTGATCTCGACTAAATATTAAAAATGAAATAAATGGTAAGGTAGGTGAGAATAATATGGTCACTTTAAGCTTTGCCACCCTAAAAAACGCAAAACTAGGAGGAGGACAGAGACAAAAATACAAAGTCGTATACTATAACTAATATATTAAAAAAAATGCAAACAAGCTTTGATAATTATTAGGAACACTTCGAAAAATCAACTTCTGTCAAAATGGCGTCGATAAAGTAGCGCCCATTTGACCCTTTATTATTTGATTGACTGATGAAGAGCTATCGTATCCCAGAACCATCTATGCAAACAAGGCTGTAGCTTTTGAGTTTTAAGAAAGTGACCATATTAACCGGATGACCATATTACCCTCACGTACTATATTTTAATGATTATCTTAAGTCTAAATAACGCCACAGTAATAGTTTCCACCCCAGCAAAGTCAAGGCGGGTCGCTAGTTATAAATGTTATTTTAAAAATTGATGTAGGTACCTACTTTATACAAATTCTTTTCAAATATATTCCCATAAGTAGGAAATTTCCACAGCCATCCATAGCATAGATAAACTATTTTTTACAGTTTAAACATTCCTGAACAACTTTTTTAAGGAAGATTTATAATAGTCGTAACTCTTGGTAGGTTTCTTGGCGGATGGACAATCGTAGTTATAGGTGTTTCCGCAAATTTGACCCTGATTTTCGCATCGCGGTCTGAATCATAGATTATTAAGTGACGAAGCTTGCGAAGTCACTTATTCATTTCACGATGTCTGTCCGTCTGTCCGACTGTCCGTCTGTCCGTCTGTCCGTCTGTCCGTTTGTCCGTTTGTCCGTCTGTCCCACGATTATCTCGAGAACGGTTTCGAATTTTCAAATTCTGTTTTCAGCAATCGATTACTGATCACCCAGGCATCTGAACCTCCTATTTTGAAACTGATTGCTCAACGGCAACCGTTAGAAACCGCTACAAAGCTGATTGCTTCGCCACTTTGCTATGCTGTTAGCTTGCTAGGTTTATTGTATATGTATATATCGCAGCCGACAAGCTTAATTAGCTTTTCAGTTAACAGACTAGCCTTTTTACTAAGCGGCGCCGTTCAACTGGCGGCTTGGATGATATTCAGCCGATGCGTTTAATACAATATTGCATCTATCTTATAATATCAGCGACAGTAGGTAGAGGTGAGGCTGGGGTGACCCTTGGGCCACTCTAAAGTCACCTATATTGGAACGAAGTTCCTTATCGGACGGTACGGATTTGGCGGATGGGAGCTAGACGAAAAAAAGTGTAAGATTTTTTCGTCACTACCCCTTGTGTCATAGTGTATTTTATTTTAAATGACGCTTCATTTTAATAGACGCTAATAATTAATTTATTTATATTTGTTAATCAATAATGTAATACGTTTATCAATAATAATATACTACGAAAGGAACTTCGTTCCAACCGAGTGTTCCACGACACTCACGCATGTTTTTTTATGTAATATAATCACGTAGCGCATAATTAGGCATAGGCCAGCGATATTACATGGCATGGTCACCCTATTAATTTCATTCAACGAGACGGTCGCTAGTTAAACGGCGCCGTTTAGTAAAAAGACTAGGCTGTTAACTAAAGGTCTAATTAAGACATAATATTATACATACTGGACATAATATATATTTGAGCTTGAACAAATTATTATTTGAGAGTGCATTTTACAATTATAAAATGAAATATATTTAAATCTTCGGCGTTTTGTATTTGTAAAACGTCATTTTTAAACATTTTATTAATGTTTTTAATGAGATGATCATTCTATTCGAAGCCGAATAAGGTCTTTTTGACACTTCCCTTAGTCGCCCTATTACGACATCAAACAGAAAGGGGCGATGGATTCTTTAACGCTGGCACAATATGGTGGTATTGTAGACATGATTGGATTTATTATGATTTTAGTCATACTTGTAGAAATCCGTGGTTGGTCACATAAGCAATTAGAGTTCGATCACCATAACCACCACTGACATAGATACTCCCAATTTTAAGTGCTGAATTGGCGATAGAGGAAAACATTGTGAAGAAAGAAGCGTGTCGCCTAGGTGTATTGGGATATCTAAGATTCTTTCTTTCTCCAAATTTCTGCTTCACCTTTTTTATATAAGAATAAATAGTAATATATATACTTCGGTAATAATGTAGAAATAATTCGCTGTGCCTCTTCAGGCGGCGGCGGCGAATGAGGCGAAGTTGGTTCCGGGGGCGAAGGTTCTTCATGTTCCTCCGTCGGGCGGAAACCTAGCGCAAATTTCGCTCTGAAATAAGAATTAATAATTTTATAAACCTTGCCATTTCGCACGGCGCCATGTTTGGCCTTAATTAACACGGTGCTCTTTTCTAAATAACGTCTTCGTGGTAGAGCGTGTTACTCACATTGATAAAATTAATTATTCTCCCTACATATCTTGCACGATGATTGGATAATGATGAACAATATAAATATTTAATAAGACTACATAATTGTAGTTGTTTTAATTTTGTTTTCATCATAATCATCACTACACCTCATCATATCCCACTGCTGAACATAGGCCTTCACAATATATTGCCACAAAGTATGGTCCGGAGCCAAATGCATCCATCGACTATCTACGTAATATTTCATCAAGTTGTCACTCTATCCAGAAGGGGGCCCCTAAACACTGCGCTTCCCTGAACGTGAGAACTCGAGAATCTTCCTTCCCCATCGCTTTGTTTAATCTAATTCCTATTTATTTTATTTGTAGTAAATATATTTTAATATTGATATTCAGATTATAATCCTTTTTCGTTGCTCATAAAAATTCAGGCAAGATTGCAAAAGGAGTTTTACTTTATAGCTTACGTATCGCATTTCACTGTTCGCTTCAGTTTATATCTCACAAGAGGATAGATTTACGATGAACCACGCGTGATACTGACAAGCGTGAAGTTTTATTTTGATATGATTTACTCGTGTTACTTTCTGATATTGTTTGCTCGTGGCAGGTTTTGCAATATAAGATCTTTCTATAAAATATATTTACGCGATATTTTATCCGCAACTTTACACATTGGGACGTGCTTTTTTATTTTTGGCATGTATCAGTGTGAATCAGTGGATCAATAGCACCAATGATAAATAAAAATGCTTGAATTATATCCATTCATTTATTACAACCAATGAAAAGCCCAGCGCTGAACCTGATAGGCCTTTCTCGTAGATGGACAGACAATATGCAAAAACAGAGAGAAAGACAAAAATTAAGGGCTTCTTGAAATAAGGTAATAGTACCGTAATGTAATCTCGGCTCCGTGGCGCAGTGGCTTTGCAGTATTGCAGCGCTAAGGGCCGGGCGTTCGAATCCCGAACGGAACAAGTTTTTGTATGACCTACAATTAAATTTTCCGGGTCTGGATGTTTGTCCTTGTGACATTTATGTATGTAAACTGCCCCCACGGTAGGAGAAAATGCTAGTGTGAAGGTAACGTTTTTAAAAATAATATGAAAAATAATGAAAAATGTTAGTAATTTTTTACAGTTTATATTAGCCTCCCCTATAGATTGTCCCACTTTTTTTATTTGCCGAAGTTGCCATGCTAGGTAAGCGGTTTAACATCCGCAGTTTTCTATTACATTGAGTTGTTATTTTGTTAGGCGTTTGAAACGTCGGGAATTAAAGAGTTAAATTAAACGCGATAGAATCCGTAAAAAAAGTATTAATATTTAAGTGTGATTTAATGTGTAGTTTTCGCGTAAATATAAGAAATCATTAGTATGTTATTCTTCTATAAGAATGTGTTAAGGAGTAAATATTATAAGGTTTATTTTAACCTTCTTCCGTTCATGCTCATGTATCCATCGTCTTCTGAGGTGTGTCCGGCGAGCGGTGAATCGTCGTCAGTGGCAGGCGTGGCCGGCGTGGCGGGCGTGGCAGGCGTCGCCGGCGTAGCCGGCACGCGGGCTGCTTCCAACGAGCGCGGCTCACCCTCGTCGTACTCGCTCAGCACCTGGTCCAGCAGCTCCAGCGAACGCTGCACATCGTCGCACCCACTGGAACAGTTATCATATCGGTTAGAATAAATATTTATTATAGGTAAGTGCTACATTAACCAATAAAAAGTAATTAATGAGAGGTCAATCGACGGATTCAACTCGGCTGGGCAGCGTTCGGGAAGCTACGACACATCTTCTCGTCAGACATACCTCAAAACCTGAAAACGAAATTGTACAACCAGTGCGTGTTGCCAGTGATGACTTATGGAACTGAGACGTGGTCCGTCACTGCTGGCCGTATGAGGAAGCTCAAGGTCGCTCAGCGAGCTATGGAGAGGGCTATGCTCGGAGTTTCTCTGCGTGATAAACTTAGGAATGAGGATATCCGCAGTAGAACCAGAGTAACCGACATAGCCCAACGGATTAGTAAGCTAAAGTGGCAGTGGGCCGGCCATATAGCTCGAAGAACCGACAACCGATGGGGAAGAAAGGTTCTCGAGTGGCAGCCTCGCACCGGTAGGCGAAGTGTAGGGCGTCCCCCCACGAGATGGAGTGACGACCTGGTAAGACATGCAGGAAGTCGATGGATGCAGGTGGTTCAGGACCGTGCTTTGTGGCACTCTTTGGGGGAGGCCTATGTTCAGCAGTGGACTTGTGAAGGGCTGTAATGATGATGAATGCATTTACACTTACAAAGTTTTTATTATACACAAAAAACATATAGTGATAGCCTACAACTACTTTCCATTGTAGAACCATATAACACAATGAAAGTAGGTTATTCCTGTAAGGGCAGGCAAAAGTATCAATATGTCCAATACCCATTTTCCCCCGGGGGGACCGTAAGAGGCGACAAATGGAAACCAACCAGGAGTTGGGCAGCAGTATATTCCTGCTAATAATAATAAAACATAAAAATTACGTTTCCGAACCTGCCTACCAAACGTGGTAACTATAGCAAATGCCCTTCGAGGTAATCTATGGAGGAGGCCTATGTTTATCAGTGGATTTTTGAAAGGCTGTACAGAAGAATAAGGAAAAAGTCCGATCGTGGATTCCATATTTCATCCAAACATTGTTTTAATCTCTCAAATATGCAGATTTCCTCAAAATAATTTCCTTCGCCGTTGAGCACGTGTGTCCTCCTTGTATCAATGACGATTGAGCTCGGTTTGTTTATGAAATTTTAAGGTGAGCTCTATATTTATACATTTATACTATGCAAACTACATATTTATTATTCGTGTGGCTTAGTGGCCAAAATAAGTGCCTGAAGACATCTTTACGATCAAGCCAACATTTTTTTTTAAATCCCATTTTACATCCTCCATTCTATATCCCATCCACTTTTCGATCTTATCTTTAGGTAGGATATGCAAGGAATTGTGCGTGGTTCTTAATAAGCTGGTGACTATTAATGATAAAAAATTGGCACTAATTTTATTGTGTGTCTAATCATAAATTAACATCATGATCATTTTAAGTCGTGCTAAATTGAATAGTTTTTATTGCAACAACAAATGTTTAGTCATTTATATGGTTTGTAGTAGTTTCAGAAAGTTTAGGTCGTAAAAATAAAGGATATTCAAAAAATTTGTGAACTGTTGTCTTCATTTGGCTTACGGGTGAAGAATGTTAAAAAACATATTATGTTATAGTGAAATTAATAAAAATTTGAGCATATTATGTACTAGCTGTTCCCCGCGACTTCGCCCGCGTGTTATTTGGAGTTTTAATTTTTTGCGTGGAACCCTAATTCTTTTTCTAAAACAAAAGTAGCCAAGTTACTCCTTGTGACATCAGCTATTTGCCTGTGGAAATCCCATCAAAATCGGTCCAGCCGTTTCGGAGATTAGCCGGAACAAACAGACTGACAGACGGACAGACAGACAGACAGACAAAAACTTTGAAAATTGTATTTTTGTTATTATTATCGTCTATACTTTCATATGCATTTAATAAAAAAACTGTAATTTGGACATTACAAACAGACACTTCAATTTTATTTATTTGTATAAATATGTATAAATATAAACTTAGCAATCATGATATGGGACATTTATACTTGCTTGTAAAAATGGGTTTTATGATCTTTATAAATATTCCGGTCCGTTATACATTTTAGTGTTTTGTTTTGGGCAGCTACAAGATTCATGATAAATTTTAATAACTTGTGTGAAAAATTAAAACTTATTTTACGGTTTTAATTGCTTTTAATTATAACTTATTTTTAGCGAGAGGTGGATCCTCACACTGTATACGTAGGGGCGATTATTTTGTTGTTTGTTTTTATAAATTAATTATAATATTTTTGGTTTTTAAGTCCATATTTGAATATAATATAAGCACATTTTGATGATTGTGTATTCTAATTAAATCTATTCTGTAGTACTTTTTAAACAAAAACATCACACAAGTATCCACCATATTATTAGTTGATAGTGAGAATAGACCAAATTACATCCACAACATTTTTTTATTTAGAACTATAAAGGTATACACCGTTCAATTGTTACATTTATTACGCAATTTTCAAATCGCTTCCCTCGTAGCGTTGCCATTGTATATAATTTAGTCAGTGTAACAAGCGGACGAGACCAGGGCAGTTAATTCTCCGAGATAATGCTAAATTGAACTCATTTCCTTCACATCACTACACTTGTCTAGGATACGCTTCTTTAACAGCAATGAACTGAATAAGGAAATAACGACAGCTATATCACTCACTGGTAGCGAAATTTTATTATTTTAGATATTATCCCTTTAAGAATTTTATACGTGGTAGAGCCATGCTACAGCTATATTAGTAGTATAGTTGTAGCACAAATGGATCGGCTCGGCCGGGGAGGAATTTTGCACTAAAAAAGTATAATATACTACTTTTTTTTCATATTCCTACATTGTCATCCGATTCTGAGTTATGTTCAAAATTTCAGGTCTTAGCTCATCGGGTAGTGCTCGACATTTGAGTTGCAAGATTCCACCCGGAACCACAGACAAACACGAAAGTGACTTAAAAAAAACGTGGTAAAATGTTGTCATTTGTTTATTGGCTTTGTACACAATGCCGAAATAAATGAAGAAATGTTTTAAAATCTGAAAATAGCATTCGCTTTGTTAACATTCGTTTCATTTACACTAAAAATGATATATTTCCAGTTCGCTTTGAATCCGCTTTTTTTTTTCTTGTGAAGTGCTAATTTCCTCATAACGCCGTGTCGTCGGAATGAGATATTTCGGATTGATTTTAGGACTCGATATTACAAAATGAACTTTTTTCTCAATCCATTTAACATTTTAACGTTAAATACGCTCAAGCAAATGATAAATATTGCAGACTTCATAGTCGTAATAAAGTAATGTTACTAGTGATAATGTTACTAATATTTATTGTCTCTCTAAGAGCTTATTCTAGCCTAAGAGGTTAGGTATCAAAAAGATATAATAACTACTAACTAAAGGTAAACTCAAGTTACTAAATGCAATTCAGAACCAACTTGCAAAGCATAAGTTGTTTCCTTAATTTAAGTTTTTTCATAAAGAAAAACGAGCTCGCGATCCACGTAATAGATAGTGTTGAGTCCGTGAAAGTCTATCGCGTACTTTTTACCACGTTCCGCGAACTTAGTCGGATAAATTTCCATGTAGGAGATTTGCCCGGCTATTTATTTGTACGTCTGCAGATCACACACACACACACACACACACACACACACACACACACACACACACACACACACACACACACACAAAAATATGCAGCGTGCATGTAAAGTATATATAAATAAATACTATAATAATGTGTGTGTGTGTGTGTGTATTTATGTATATACTTTACATGCACGTTGCATATTCTTTACCAATAATACTTCAAATTCGACAGCTGATAAGCACTTATGTCCTGCCGTACGGCGTGCTATTTCGCATTTTATTATATTAAAAAGGAAGTAAGTCCTCGTTGCTAGAAAAGTGGTCTGTAAATATGAAGCAGCCCTTATGGAAGAAGAGGCGTACGCTTTCACGCCGTCTCTCGATAAGCTCTCACGACCACTCGGGCTGCTGTCCTTTACATTTGCTCAATAAATTATAATGCACTTTTTGAAATCATAAATCGCAGCAAATGCTTTGAGCTACGTTATTTTGAACTACATAACATGTTATTTATAATGTGGGTGTGGGTGTATTAAATAAAATGTATACTTAGTATATTATCTTTACAGTATATTTATAGAAAAGTAGAGCAAAGCGAACGTTACTCTACTTTTCTTATAATTATCGCCATTTATGGTCTTGAGAAGGTATTTAGCTTCTTGTGCATTTTAAAAATGGCCCAATTAAAAAAATGTCATGTTGGGCCTTTCACATATAATTAAAAGATTTTGTATAATATAAAAAAAATAGTTTATAATGTAAAAATAAAATAGCACAGAACTTTTTATAGGTACTTATGTAAATCTGAAATCAATAACGACACTTTTCTAAATTCTCTTTCTTTGAGTTCAGATACGATTTTTCTATACATAGAGTTGCAAACTACTTAATTGTCTATGATAATTAATAAGACATTCGTCGAACGGTCGTAATAAATAAATCCATTGTCACCTCTCTTTCCGTGGGTAAGGAAATGCTCTGATGACCTCAGATAGGTGGCGATATGATGAATTCGCATTATACCATATGAAAAGTACCAAGAGCAGCCACTGGTGGCAGTGTAAGTGAGGAACGTTGGTGGTTCGTCCGCTTGAACGCTTGCCATTTAAAGAAGTTTCAAACAATGTAAGAGGTCCTTGTCAAGTAGTGGACTGTTCAGTTGATACGAAGGAGATCTATAAAGAATGTCATTAAAATTACTCATTCTAAATAATATTCTTAAAACAGAAATAACTCAAAGGTCGAAAATCGTTGACCCGCTTACCAACCGTTTTTCACATGTAGTCGTTATCTTGTTAAGACTTAGCCTGAAATAAAGTGAATAAAATTACCATTTGCTTTCGCAGTGGCTTTGTTACGATTTACGAAAAAATATATATAAATCCCGTAATATCGTTAATAACTCT